AAATCAGCACCACATGTTCACATTGTGAAGGCAGTCTTCACAGTTCACAGCATCACAATTTCACCACTTCACAAGCTCACAATGAAGCACCACACGTTTACAATGTGAAGGTGAGTCTTCACAACCTCACAACTTCACACCTTCACAACCTAGCACCAGATGTTCGCAATGAGAACCAGAGTATTCACCACTTCACACCTTCACAATACATCACCACATGTTCGCAATGAGAACCAGAGTATTCACCACATCACAACTTCACAATTCAGCACCACATGTTCACAATGTGAGGTGGTGAAGACTCACCTTCACAACCTCACAACTTCACACCTTCACAATACATCACCACATGTTCGCAATGAGAACCAGAGTCTTCACAACTTCACAACTTCACAATCAAGCGTCACATGTTCACAATGTGACACTCAGTCTTCACAACTTCACATGAATACAGCATCAACAATGAGGAGCCTGATTTTCACAGCTTCACAAGTTCACAACAGCACCACGTGCTTAACAATGTGAAGTCGTCTTAACTTCACCAATTCACAACCCTGCGGTCACAATGTGACCTCAGGTTTCATTGAATTCCTTAACAAGTTCGCTACATACACTGCACAACATTTCACCAAAGCTTTATGTTCACAAGGTGACTCCACATCATCACACAGCTTCAGCTCGGAAGCTTCACAAAAGCATTATGCGCTTTCTACACAGTATAAAGACCTCACAGTCATGAAACTTTCTGCACAATAATGAGTTCACAGTCACGATTATAATTGTGGCACTTTCATTCGGAAAACCTCTGACATTAAGGCTTGTAGTGAGTGATCGAAATACATTAGAAGCTGGGTTCAGGCATAGTAAATCAGTTAGCTGGACGGCTTCATTTTATTTTACCTAATATTATACTGACTTTCAACATTTTTGATTCGAGCTTTTCATGAACTTTGGCAGTTTCTTCCGGGGTTTTCAACTTTTTACATGCATAGCAAAGATTCTTCCGAAAACCTAGGTTTTGATGATAGCAAAAGTTGGCCGAAGGACTGAAGAAAGGAGCTAGTCAATTTAGCATTCTACTGCAAGTGGACTGGTGTTCTTACCCGGGGTCATCAGATTGCTGACGATACAAACCTTGAATGTAGATGAATGTAGCGGTACAAATTTGAATATTCACGTTTGTTTCTTCCATAGTGGTGTGATCGACTGGTGTGATGTGATAAGCCATCACGGTGGTTTGATTTGTTGAATCAAAATGAAGGCAAAGTTACATAAGGCAGTTACATGAGCTACCCCTACTTAGTTCGTGAAGGTCAAAATTCAGTTGAAAACTTCTAAGCTGAAGGTATGAGCGGCTAAAAGATGGATTATCGCGAACTTGTCCAAGTTGACTTCATGGTGAAGTCAAACACAGCATCTAATTTTTAGTGAGTCTCAAGAAAACCAGATAATCTTAGAAGCAAAATCTTTGCTTGTAAGATCATCTTCCTAAGTTACGTCAACATATATATATATTTGATGTCATGGCTACATACAGTAATTACAAAGTTAATCACTACCACTACTTGTTTGTGATTCTCCAGACTCACTCATTTTTGATGATTCAGAGTCTGAATCATCAATGGCGATGATGAGAGGTTCATAATCACCACGCATTTCATCTAGTTTTTCGTATCTTGCTTTTCTGAGCTGCCTGGCTAGGATTGAAAATATTGCCTGGTTGTCTTTATACAAACATGACCATCCCTCTGAAGTTTCTTGGTGTAAGAGGGACCATTCTTCAGATAAAGTTGGGATAGGGAGAGAAGGCGATAATGTAATGATTTGTTCGTATATGTGCCATCACAATCGGTTTAATTTGAGGGGGTCTAGGTGTAAAAAATGGGTATGTGGATGATGTGGCGGTATCGAGTTTGGTATAGAAGATCACAGGTTGCTGGTAGGTATTGGCGATGAGTGCCATTCCACCGGGCATGGGATAGTATAGCTCTGGGAGTGCTGTGTCGAGTGGGTTTTGGAGGATCTGGAGGAATCTTGTAATGTTGTAATTTGGACAGAGAGTTGGGAGGTGTTCTTCGTACCATTCGTATCTTGATGTGAGCTCAGCTTCCATCTCCTTGCAAATGATTAGTCGTTCTTCTTGTGGGCGACCGAGAGAGACAGCGATGGAACGAAATGCACATAGACCATCCCCAAGGACATCGGTGACATTGATCAAGAACGGGTGTATGTAGGGAGGAAGATCAACTATACAAGGGATAGCCTAGTATTGCTTAAATTGTCAGCATGAGACAAACAAATGAGATAATTTACGCATGAGGTGCATACCTGTTGTGACAGGCTACTACTTGCTGCAGTTTCATTTTCTAGGTATGCGGAGCCGGATTCTGGCTGAAAGTTATACATGCGTGAAATTTAATTTGGTGTAATTCATTCAGACGTGAAATCAGCCATTAATTGAGATAAACTTACATCAGGAAGTGGAGCTATGAGATCAAGATCATAAGGGGATCGTGACATACTATTAGGCTCTGAGGCGAGGCCGGGCGTAATGGTAGATGGTGGCTGTTCAGTCACCGTAGGCTGGCCTTCAGCGGGAGGTGATGTAATTGGTGCATCATGTGTATCTCCCGATTGATGCTTGCCTTTGAGGCGTGTCGAGGCTGGACGCTTGCCAGAAGCTGATTCGGCAGGTGTTTTTGCATCAATAGTTGTTTCCGCATCGACAGGTTTGGCGGCCGATTTGTGCTTGCCTATAATGGTTTCAGGGTATTCTTTTTTTTCGGGTTGGGCCCTGTCTTTGAGTCAAGCTGAGGATCGGGCGACCAGAGGTAGAGCTGAGGTCTTGCGCTTCTTCTGCTTGTTTGGATGAGACACAGGAGATTTGTTGATATTTTTGAGTGTGAGTGGTTCGTTTTCATTGTTTTCCTGTTGATCAGCTTTCGCTTGAGGTTGTTGTTCTGGTGGTTTGGCTGTATTAGTATTGATATCTTTGACTTTTTTGGTTGCTTGAGGCAATTCATCTTTTTGAGCAGAGTGCTTTAGACATTCAAGATCAAAAGAGGGTGGTGTGGAGAATACGCATGGGTTTTTTTTATCAGTGTCAGATTTGGATGTTTGGTCGTCTATTGCATGGCCTGTTGTCATGGAAGTGTTGAAAAAGACTTCACTCCCAAGTGGTGATGAGGTTGAGGTTTCGTCATCTTCCCCCTTTTTTAGGTCGTCGTGTGGTAGAGATGGAGGTGGCTCTTCATTGGTCTGGTCCTAAAGTAGGGCACGGAAGTGTTAGCTTCATCAATTGATGATTTGATCCACGATTGAAAGGGTCATATGCTCACCTTGGTAGTCACAGTGGGGGGTAATAAA